ATAGACAGTATCTTGTGCCAATAACAAGCATCTATCGCGGGAGGGGGAACCCCAAGGGTACATGAACCTACATAACCGCTTGATTAGTAGTAGTGGGGACTACAAGTTTCATCTTCATAAGTATAAAAACTTTGTCATTTGAAATGTAATAAATTTATCTCTGTCTGAGAGCAGGATCCTGAGCTTTTCCTGGTCGGGTCTTCCAGGATATTTTTCCATAATAGGCTTCAGGAGCCCTTCACGGTGGGTCAGGAGTAGGGGACAGTAAAACACAACATGTACTAAGTCCTCAACTGATTTTTGGTTGCAAGAACATACTCTCTCATAGTATGGAATTTGTGTGTAACACCCTTTTAAGCTAGCAAGCAGCAACATATCAAGACGTGCCTGAGTGAAGGCTTTTCTATAGTCGAAGCTCACTAAATCGGCAAAATAAGATTTAAAGGCGGAGATGAAATAATCTTATAGAATGGGGCCACCTGAGAAAATCTGTATCAACCCAAAAAGCTCAGTAACATATAGCTTTTAATTTATGTAACAGTAATATATTTATTATATATACTCTCTATATCTATAATTACACATGCACACAGAAGCTATAATCTTCTAAGGACCCAACAGCAAGAGTTTGCTTTCTGACCACAGGAAGGCAGCATGGTCCTTAAAAACTTCTAAGAAATCAGTTGCATTATACATTAGAGAACTGTATCTTACTGGAAATGATATTCAAATACTAGAAAAGATATTCAAATATTAATAAGTGTAACTTGGACAAAAAGCTGTGCTTTTCTGTTCTAAATTGACTCCCACTTGTAAATGCTATTCTTTTCCTGATAAACATGGCACGGCTATCCTGTTTCTCATACTGGGATGGTAAAGATAGCAAAACCAGTGTAGTATTGTGTCTGTTAATGTGACGGATTAGGACCAGCCACAGCCACAGGTCCTTTCTACTCCCTTTGTACTCAATCCATGAGCCTCCAATTCTCCAGAGATGAGCTCAACTCTTATCTGTAGTCATTTCAACAATGAGTCCCTTCCAGCTCTGCTGTTCTAAGATGATGGTGACGATGATGTTCAGGAGGATGCAGCCGAAAGGAGAACTCCTTTCAGAGGAGGCAGAAGTAGCATACACAATATTCACCACCAGTTCTTCTCCTTGACATTCAAGAGCATCCATACCACTTCTCTGGCTCATTCTCTTCCTTCCCTTCTTCTCCCATAGCCAGCTCTTCCATATCCTCTTTTAGGTGATAATCCCCCTTGGCAGATTCTTTTCCTCTTTCCCACTTTTTTTCTGATTCAAGGGAAGACAATGTGTCAGGGTAATACCCTGGGGAAGGGATTCACCTCATGCCTGCCACATATCCTTGGCAGGAACTGTTGCAGGGCTAATGGGCTGTGGAGGCGGACCCTTCTGGTAGGCAAAAGCTCACTCACTAACAGCTGGCAATCAAATGACAACTGATTTGAATGTTACTTAAAGAAAGGACAAAGACAAAAATGAGGAAATGTGGTTTATTTGGCATTTTATGCACTACATATTTCACATTTCTAAACATAAAAGCATGTTATAAAAGTAATGTTATATGAAAAATAATAGCCAGTAACTTGAACAACTCCTGGAAACAAATGAGCAATTAATCCCCAACTCACCCCCGGCACAAAACTATGTGCAATCTTTCAAGATGATCCAGGTAAGCTAATGCAAAGGGTAGCGGGGGAGGGAGATGGTATCTTGTGTAACATCATACATGATGATGCAACCTGTTAATGCAAAAGTGTACATATAATATTGTGCATTTTGGGTTTGACCTAATAACCGACTAATCTTTTGCACTTCTTTGGTGCACTTCAATAGCCAGTGAGTATTTGCAATATGACCTCAAGTAAGTGCCTCTTCCTTTTTAGACTAGTTCTTGAACAGCAGGTATTTCTTGCTCCACATAATATAAAAGCCTTTCTTGCAGCATCTTGAGCCTCACTTTGCTTGTATGCAAAATTACAGCACTGGTCCTATAATTACTGCACTCCTTGGCAACTCTTTTCTTGTAGATTGGAATGTGTATTGAACATTTCCAGTCTGTGGGGCATTGTTTTATTTACCATATTTGATGGCATATTAATTTTAGGATTCTGACAGATTCATGTTCTGTGGTTTGAAACAGTTCTATCAGTATCCCATCTACCTCTACTGATTTATCTCTTCCCAGTGCTTTCAGAGCAGCTTTCACTTCACTTTCTAGAACTAAGGTTCTTTATGATAGACTACTTCTTCAGATAAATCTGTCATCCTTTTATCTCTTCGGGATAGGTCTTCAGTGTATTGTTTCCACCTTCTCTTTATTTTCTCCTGGTCAGATAGTGTTCTCTGCTGGTCTTTCAGCATTCGTAATATAGGTTTAAATTTCCCTTTGATTTATTTGTTCTTCTTGAAAATATCTCTTATTTTTCCTCTACTGTTATTCTCTTGCATTTCCTTCCACTGGCCTTCCACTGGCCAACTATCACATATTATCGTTATGTGATAGCTGAAAACCTGCATTCAGGATTCTGACCCTATTTCTATCATATTTTCTGCTTCTCACCTCTCCTTAGCAATTTTAAGTCTTTCTTCCATCATCCATCTAGGTCTTTCTTTCTTTCTTTTTTACTATGGCAATTCTGTTTTTGCATTCTTCCCTAATATCTCTGGTTTCAATCGACAGTTCTTTTAGAACTGTCAGTTGAGTTTAATACAAATCTGTTCTTTATGAGGACTTTTAAATTTCTCAAAATGGTTATTCAAATTATATTTTGGCATTAGGATTCTTTTGGTGCTCTTCTAAAAGGCATGCATGTATAAAAATATTCCAAATATTCAGACACAACCATTTTGAAAATGTATGCATCAAATTTCACATAAATGCAATTAGTCTAGGAATATTTCATGAGTGCAGCTGAAGACCTGGAACCAGAAGGGTTAACTCAGGCTGAGGAGAATGCTGAGCAATCAGAAACACCTGAATTGCCTCCAGATTCTCCTTCCTCAGCAGACAAGCTTCGGGCCAGGCTTCGGGAAGACATATGGCAAAAAGGTCAGAGGATCGCTCGAAGGCTGTCCACAGAAACATCCGTTCAACTAGCCCTGAGTATTGACAGGATGGAAAGGTTTCCAGCAGCTCAAGGAACTGTTTTGCTATAAAAACAGCTCCTAGTCAGCTAGAATTTCTGTGGAAGCAACAAGTCAAAACCTCTGGCTAGCATCCACGCTCTTACAACCTTGAACCGTGTTCTTGACTCTGACTCTGGACTACATTGTGTATTTGACTCTGGACTCTGACCTTGGACTACATTCTGTGAGTTGGTTTGGTAAATGGTTATCGGCTTTGCATTCTTGGTATTCCTGACCTTGGACTGGTTTATTGGACTTCGGCTGTTGTAACCTCCGGGAACGTGACAGAATAGACATGGGGATGAATAAAAAATGAACTGCAATATTCTGAAATGTCGCTGATTTGTGGGATATTCATTCCCTTCATATTTGTTAGATCTGGAGACCCCAACAAATAGGAAAGGATGAATATTTACCCATTTTTATCCATCCCTTCATGCAGGCTAGCTGTGGGAATGGAAATAGGGTTTGCCTTCCTGCAGCCAGCCTGCTTGTCAATGTCCCTCTGATCAGCGGGACACTGACAAGTGGGCTGACTGTGGGAAGGTAAACCATCAGCAGATGGCTGGTACATCAACAAGCAAGCTGGCTGCAGGAATGGAAACTCCAGTTTCTGTTCCTGCAGCTAGCCTGCTTATCAATGTCCCAAATCCCAACCATCAGCTGGTGGTCTGGACACTGACAAGCAGACTGGCTGCAGCAACTGAACCCAGGGTTTGACTTCCAGCAGCCAGCTGGCTTGTTGATGACCTGATCATCAGCTGTTTTGATGACAAATATTCGTTCATTTGTTGCTAAAATTTGTTGCTTCATTAAGTTGTCAACTTTGATGAATGATGAGTCACGACAAAGCACCATTTTTTCCAATTCATTCCCATTTCTATTTAGGAATCTGTCTCCAGAGTCAGAGCTTAGACATTTGATTCCCCACTGTGACTCCTGTGAGAAGAGCCAGCCTATGTTGTCTTGGGCAAGCTGCACTATGCCAGGATACCCCAATAAGAAGGGAATGGTAAACCACTTCTGAGTATTCTCTACCTGGAACATCCTGGATAGGGTTGTTGTTATAGATTTCAGATGTTCAGTACATCCACTAGCAATCAGAATTCCAACAAAAGTAAACCAAATATAAATTGCTCAGTCTTTCAAGTGATGCAGACAAAAGTGTAACTTTTATATTCTCTTTGCATTTTGTTGTTTCTTGTCTATTTCATCAAGTTTTCAATTTTTTTGCTTTTAGCTTATTTAAATAAATGATTATCAGGTTTGTTTTTCTTTGGCTAGTTCCTTCTGCCTTCTTTCCTCCCCCTACCCCAAACCTCTTCATCCATATGCTATCCATTTTAAAATCCCAAACAGAGCACTATAAACTCCATCCTTTGGTTTCCATTTCCCTAGCCTTCAGTCCTTTAACCTAGATTTTGATTTCTCGGTGTATTCTCCCCATCTGCTATGAACTTTGTATAAACTCCCCATCTGCTTCCATTCTACTTTATTTCTATCATTAAAATTTTACCTCCTCCCCTTAACATCTGAATAAATCATAAGTGATCTTGCCATAGCCATGTAAGCCCCAACAACACTTCTCTTCATCAAAGCAAAGCAAGAAAAGTGTTCCATAAAAAGTGTACTGCAGTTTTGTTAGACTGAAATAGCTTTTAAGCAGCCCAAGGCAAATTCTGAAGATGACTGGAAAGTGATAAGTCATCAATACGTTAACAATCCTCTCCTGTATATGGAGGGATCAATAAATATATAGCAAATTCAAGTCACCCTGATTTCTATTAAACAAAAGACAATGTCCAGTAGTTGTGTGTGTATACACACACACAAACACACACACATTTTATTTCTGGTGCTAACATGAACCTGCATTGTATACAAAAAGAAACAAAATTTGTAGTAAAGAAAAAAACTACAACAAATTTTAATCTTATAATTAAAGTCAAAATTTTAGAACAAACATAAGTATTAACATATGCGGTCACTTTCCAAGATACATGTTTCGCTGCTACAGGTATATTCTATTTATAAACATTTCTTAAAATGCAAATAGACCTAAGACCAAAAAGGTACCAAAAATATCTAACTTGTCAAAGGTTTAAAACCTTTTGTTTCGTTTTTCTAAAAGCAATACAAAAGCAATTCACTGAAAGATTCAACCAATACCAACTCCAGTTTGTACTACATACTCAAGACCTATGTTAAACCTTGGCACTGGTGGCTTTGGCACCATTAAAAATATCCTATGGAATAATTTACATGCCTCTGATAAAGGAGACCTTTTAGGTATAAAAGAGTAAGGCATGGCGTGAGATCCAAACAGGTACTGCCAATGTACATGTACAATGGACAGCAGTAGGATGTCCACCCTATCCTTCCCTGCTATTCCTTATTCTCCAAGAGCCACTCCTGAAAATCAGAATGCTCTCTACAGTACCTTCCAATGCAGCTTGAAGAATTATAGTCAGGAGGAAATCCAGACAGTGCTGGAGCACACACTTTCGATCCTGGCATAGAGAGGCCATCTGCACATAGTTAAGTGACTGTATATACTTAGTGGGACAGGGGAACTAACACCCTGACCCCACTGTATAAACTCTCATTAAGGCTTGAAATAATTTTCAATATGGCATAAAGCTGGATTGCAACTTTAAAAGAAAAGTCAAAGTGTTGATGTATAGTTCTCACAATTACAGCCTTACTATGTGTTTTATATTCACTTAACCTCTGCATGCTTTAGGTTAGGGAGTCTTCTAAAGAAGCTTAGGTAAAGAGAGGATAGGCCAAAACTACCAATATCAAAATAAGTTCCAAACCAACTTCTCATATTCTCATGAGAAATTATGATTCTCTTTTCTAGAGTTTTTCAGAAAAATGCTAACCATTTTTAAACTGGCCTGTTAAAGGCAGCTAGGTAAATATTCTATATATAAATATTTATTTAGAATAATAAATAAATAACTATGGTATGGGGACTTGAGCTGGAATTTTAAAAACATATTCTAACACCATAGATTGTTTTACAAACCACACAAAATAGTAAAATAAAATCATTTTTAGAGTTCTTGGTTATGTGGTATCAGCTTCGTTTCTAGTAATTTGTTACTCCCCACACAACAACAGTTGATATCATGTTAACTTGAGAACATGCCATCATTCTATTTGTCAGTTACATACAGTGCATATGATGCTCGCTCTTTCCATCTCTCATAGCAGCAAGCAGACTCTGCTACTGTCCATAGCAGCACATCCAGGAGTGGAGAGGAAGAGTGTCAGATTTATAAATAGCTAACATCTACAGTATACAGTTCTATTTTCTTGTCAGTATTTAGGTTGACAAAACACCATTATGTTCTACAAGAAATTAACTTAAAGAATAGCTACAGCATAAACAAGACATTCCTTCAAATGGTACAAGAGTAAGTGCAAATGTCTAAAGCAGGCAAAATAAAGCAACCAATGTAACCTGTAAATATTAAAAACGTACAGAAATCTTACATTTAAAAATGACTACTTTCCTTTTTAAAGTTTTGTAACTGCATTGTTGAATGTTCTGAGAATAGCTTTATCGTGATGTAGAACTAGTCCACAATTTCAGAGCAAGCAGCCACAGCCTAGCCTTGGTCATGCACTGGCTCATGAACAAGTGTTAACATGATCTGGGCACAGATTAAGCTAACAAGACAGCCCTGCAATTCTTGAAAGAATAATGGCTGTTAGTTAACTACAGCCCAGTACCAACATTACTCCACATGAAAAGAGAGCCACATGTGGCTAAAGAAGGTTTGTGGCTGCTTGTACTGGGGGGGAAATGACTATGAACGCACTCAATACTCTCAGACATGTAAAGAAATGCATTGGTGTTAATTTCTGTGTAGGGTCACAAAGTCATAGTATGTCATCCCATTCTGTCTCTACAGAAAAGTAACCTTCGTCAGTAACCAAGTTACTGGAATGCTTAAAGTGTAGCCAATATAAGCTCTAAAATAACTATATAGATCTACATGATTTAGAAGAGAATAGTGCAATCTTTAAATAGATGAAATGCAAATTTATGTACTTCACAGCCTGTGTTGCTGCTGCTCTTTGAACCAAAGCTACAGCCTGCTACTTTTTCATCTACAGTATTTTACTTAAAAATTAAAATCAGCTTCTAAGACAATCTGCTTGTGTGTGTGTATGTGTGTGTGTGAGCACGCACAGATATGTGTGTATATTTATAAATATCTATGCACTGAGACCGCAATCTTGTTAACCATTAGTACCCACATAGACCCACTTCAGATGCTCATATCGGCAGAGCAAACCAGACGTTTCAAGCAACCTGCCAGAATAGTTAATTTTCCACTGCAATCCTTCACAGAGCAGGTACTCATTATCCCTTTTAGCATGTTTACTGTGAAAACTACACTACTCAGGAAAAACAGCCTTGGCCTAAGGGAATTTTTCCTCTCCGAGGTGCGTTTATGCCTGCAAGTGCACTTCTTTGAAATTACAATGCAGAACTCTTTTGCTCTGATTCAGAATCTTGGGAAAGACCAGCTGCAAACATTTCAAAGACCACCAACTTCCATCTAACAGCCCATGCAGCATCCCTATTCTGTGTTCTCTCCAGAGAAATTATAATTAATCAATAGAAATGAGGAGCAAGATGCTTCTATTGCTTTTTTTTTTAAAGAGCTCAATGCTTTCTCCACACATTTTCCAACTCTAGTTTCTGCTCTGAGCTTTATTCTACAATCTTCCTACAATATTATCACTTGCAATATTTACTTTGTATAATGCTATAATCTGCTATCCTTAAGCTTACTTAAACAATTTGCAAAATCAACACTTACCATCCATTTGCCTTCGATTTCCCTGATACAGTATACACTTTAGTATCTATAGAGTAGCAAGATATTCTAAGCATTATCAAAAGGTATACTCTGCAGTTGCAAATGACAATAGGCCATTAAAAAAAACTGCTCACATCTCCTTGAAATAAAAAGAGCCCTTATGTTTCTCTTCATAGTAGAGCTGTGTCAGAATGAAACCCACCCATATCCATTTACTTTCAGCTTCCTACACTGCTTTTTTTTCCTTGTTGCCTATTGGTATTTTCTGCAAAGATGTTACCAGAATATTACCAGAATGAGGGCAGTGGTGCTTGGAAGGAGAAAGGATTTGGTAAGCAAGTTTTAGCCTTGTCTACCAAAGACAACTGTGTGCTTGGACAGACTTGTCGGGCTGGTATTTTTGCCCTATAGACACAGAGATGTGTGGAAACAGAGTAAGAAGTTGACAGAAATAGAGAGGAAACACAGTTCATCTTAAAAAGTATTAGAATGCACTGTGCACTTGCTGCACATGACTGAATTCACAACAAAAATGTGAAGGAGGGGACCCAGCAGTGCATATTCACATTGTTTTGAGCAGTGAGCACTAGGATACTATTATGTCTCTCCCGTTTGCAAGGAGGAGCAAGTTTGCTTCAGTTTCCTCCTTGATTCTCATTGCTTTACAAAGCAGTGGGAGTATGTGGACACTTAGTAAGATTGCAGCCTTAAGCTTTGAAACAAAAATAAATTAAACATAACCTGCTTTCCAATTTACAATAGCTTTCCTGCTCCCACATGCTGTACAATACATTCAACAATGGTCTCAGGTTGAGATTTATGAATATTGATGCTTTATACTAATAAAAATTCAATTCTTTGTCTACTCATATTAGAAGTACCATTCTCAAATAAATATATTTAACACTGTAATTAATTTTGTGCAGCATACCTAATACAAGTAGTGCAACCTTCCATTTTTCCTTTCCTTTCTTTCGTGTTTATAAAAATTGCTACCTAAGTAAATAGGCATTTCAGCAAAAGCATTCTCGTGTATGTTTTTCTCTGACAGACCAAAACGTTCCTGTAAACCTAGTCTATATTAAAACATTCCTTTAAAAGGAAAGTAGTATATACTAAAGAATAAAAAAAGCATACAGAAAATACTGAATTATTCTATAGCCACTTCCTTTGGAGTGGTCTTTTTGAAGACCATTTAAGATTTGTTGCTTTAAAAAGTTTACATGTGACATGTTCCAAAAAAAGATATACATTTTCTCTCATAAGGCAGCCTTAAATACAAGCATTACCGGAGAAAAAAAATTCAGCATAAAGTCCGGGGGGTGGGGGATGACAGAGTAGTTCATTTTGAAACAATCACAAGACCAGAGCTCTTGAAGTGCTGCCTGTAGTTGTATAGTTGCTCAAGTATCTTCTTGCTTGCTCAGTCATAATAAGCTGATCTTCTGTCTTCCCATAAACAACAGTTTCCCATTCACAATTTGCCTGTAACACATGGTCTAGTTAACAAATCAAATCAAACTTACTGTCATCTACACAAAAGCCACTGCAATCCAAAGTCAAATGTAGGGGGAACAGAATCCAAATTCTACTTGAAAATCCCTAACAACTGTTCACTTAGCAGTTTTAAGACATACTCTTACTCTAGCCACATATACAGAAACATAGTACTGTACTGGATATCTTACAGGCCAATATAAACACAGTGAAAAAGATATGTGAAGTATTTGGAACATCTCAGGTAGCATGAGTAGCAGCCTCCAAAAGCCATACCTTCTTCCATATCTCTGATATGCCCACACTGCTTCTGATCGATTTGACTTCTGTCTCAACATTCCATGTTGAGTTCCACTATAAGGACATTCCACTCAATTTAGAATGTTGAGTGGAATGTCCTTATAATGAGCCCACACATATACTATTATAGAAATGCAGGCTCTCCTCTTTGATGTTCTACTCAACACATAAATGGTGCATAACAGCAGGTATATACATATTTGGTGTGGAGGTGGCAGGCAGTACTAGTAGTACTAGATGTAGTACAGTACTATTACATCTTCTATCACATACAGTAATGTTAGCATGTAACTTCTAACTTTCTAGGCTTTCTTGGTTTCCTGCAATCTGGTTCTAGTACACTTGCAAACTTGTTAGTAATAGTTTTCTAAAGATCACATTTCAAAGTCTACATGAGGACTACTAAACCTACAATTAATCCATCATATTGTCGTTATTATTTACATTTTTATTATTATGAATCAATTGGTAGCATGTTGCAAAAAAAGTCTGTTTCAAATATAACAATCCTCTTTTCCTGATTGGAATATATGTATGTATATTAAGAAATATGATTAAACAATTTGGAAAGTATTATTTGAAAGATAATATGTAAAAACATATCAGTGCACAACATTAAAATTCTTGGAATACAGACCTGAAGTGCTTTTTCCGGTTTGACATTTTTTGAAATGCAAGTATTCTTCTTTTTTCTCATTGCAAAATTCAGCTTTGTTGAACTGGAATCCTGTTTCTCTGGAGTCATATTGCCTCTGTTCTCATGTATTTCCAATAATGGTATCATTAGGAGTGATGTAGTATAAATATTCTCTGGCTGTATTGCAAAGAAAAAAGTAATATTTAAGCAATCTATAATTTAGTTTAATATTAACAATACAGACTGGCAGGTTTGTCCCTCATTAAATTTGTAATTAGTGAGCTTTAGAAGGATTTAGTATCCTACATAATATACTTTGAATTATTAACCTTCAAACAATATGTTTAGAAGAAAGTTATTTGTTTGTTCGTTTGTTCAGTCATTTAGTCGTGTCCGACTCTTCGTGACCCCATGGACCAGAGCACGCCAGGCCCTCCTATCTTCCACCGCCTCCCGGAGTTGTGTCAAATTCATGTTGGTTGCTTCGATGACACTGTCCAACCATCTCATCCTCGGTCGTCCCCTTCTCCTCTTGCCTTCACACTTTCCCAACATCAAAGTCTTTTCCAAGGAAGACTTCCTTTCATCCAAGGAAGAAAGTTATAGTCACTCCAAAAACTCCACATTAATATGCTACATAGATCTGATTAAAAGTGCCTTATTTAGATGATGTAAAGCAGGGGTGTCCAACCTTTCACCTTCCCGGGGCCACATTAGAAGATGAAAACTTGGTTTGGGCAACACATCCCTTTGGTTTGGGCCACATGGGGGTGGCAGCGCTAGCCGTCCTCCGCAGCCCCGCTCCAAGTGCACTTACCGGCAGCTGCGCTCTCAGACAGCAGAGGCTGCCAGCTTCGACTCCGGCAGCTTTATGGGGCCGGGAGGGGGCCCACCTATTGACAGGGACAGCGCAATGCCGTCACGCAGCCCCCCTGTCCCCTCTCCTCCCACTCCTTCCTTCCTTCTCTCTCTCCCCCTCTACGGTTGTGACATGCCCCGGCCACATTCCGGCCGCAAGTGCCGGCAGTGTAACTTGAAACTTTGGAATTACTTTAAAAATAAAAAATTGCACTGGGACGCATTACGAGCTGACCTGGGCCGCATGCGGCCCTTGGGCTGCGGGTTGGACAAGCCTGATGTAAAGGCTCATATAGAAATAAAACAAATTAGAAATGTTAATATGACATACAATTCCACAATCAAAAAGGAAGTAAGATTGCTGCTTTTTTCCTCCCATTTATTCCTACCAATACAAATCTTTTCAGGCAGCTTTATTTTTAGATGGTAAGGTTTTGGGACTCTGTTGCATTGCTTGTTGCTCCAAATAACTAAAACATATCCAGCTTTGTTTCCATTTACATAAAATATTTGCTTTTATGTATCATGCTATTCACCTGTACATCAGAAACACTGTCTTCTGTAAAAAACTGAGGAACACTAAGCTCTTCTTTTTCCCAAGGATCCAAGACCAATGATTTTCTGACTTTTTTTGCAGAAGGATTCTGTAACAAATATTTTAAGAAAAAACAGAATTAAACTGTTCCCATTATTCCTGCAACTTCAGAATTACATGTATTGTAACTTACCTCTAACTTACAACTTCTAGGCACAGAATCCTCCTCTTCCTTGAAGAATATATCTGTTCCAGTTTCCTCCTTTAAAACTTCTCTGATATCTTCTTCCAAATAAGCAAGGGGCTGTGACTAAATTAAATAATTCAAATGACAGATGATACCCAAATCAGAAATGATGACTTGCTTATTCCACTGCTCACTGTGAAATAGTTAAGTAAGTTAAACTATCAAAGAATATATTTCCCTAAGGAGTACAATATATGCTAGTTTGAAACATATTCATCCAAATGTACAAGCAGTTCTGTCTTGTTATCATTTAATTTACACAATACTAGAAACATTGCTTCAGATAATGAAATCTGGAGGTACAGTTCTCTTGTTCTTTCCCTTTGCTTTCTCTACAGTGGTGCCTCGCTTAAGGGACGCCTCGTTTAACAACGAGTCCGCATAGCGATGAAATTTCTGCAATCGCTTTTGCGATCGCATTGCGATGATTTAGATAGGGAAAAATCGCTTTGCGATGATCGGTACCCTGTTTTGCATATCGATCATCACATAGCAATGATTTCCCAACAGCTGATCGGCGGTTCCAAAATGGCCAGCGGGTAAAAAAATGGCCACCTGCTGTTTTCGCCTGGATTCCTCGCTTACCGGGCAGCGAAAATGGCGGCCATATGGAGGATTTTCGCTTAAAGGTGAGTTTACAGCCCATAGGAACACATTGAAGGGGTTTCAATGCATTCCTATGGGCTTTTTTAAACCGCGTATCGACAAAATCGCTTTGCAGCGATTTTTGCTGCACGGATTATCGTTGCTATGCAGGGCACCACTGTATTCTGCTTTTTTTTTTAAAGGAAGTATGAATCAAAATGCTACATACCACAATTTTCAAAGGACCATATTTTTTTTCTTGAGCAGCTAAAGCATTCTTAAAAGGAGTAGGAGTCCTTGGTGTTGTACCCAGCAGAGATCTTCTAATAGTAGGGGTTCTGAAACTGAGCAAGAAACAAACATTATTTAAGCACAGACTTAAAGTTAAATAGTCAAAAACCAGCCATTCTTAAGAAAAGCCTTGGAAAAATTATTCCACTTCTTTTGTGGTACTTCAGATAGTCCCTTTTGTACTTCCAAATTTTCTTTTTCTTTTAAAACTCATCTTTAATTTCTAACAGCCATTTCAAATCAAATAATCCACCTACCCTGCATTTTCCTTTTGATCTTTGGGTGTCAATTCTTTATTATGCAAAGGAGTTGTAATAAGAACTTTTTGGCCACAAATTGGAGTTGATGTGAATGCAGGATTTTCAAGACTGAACTGATCATTTCCAGAACATGTGTTGAAGAACTGTATAAGAAATAAGAACAGAAATTGTTCTTTGTAAATTGAACAGAACCTCTCTCTAAATGTCTGAGAATATCACAGATAGGTTTATATATCTTAATTGTTTTAGTTTTTTCTTTAACTTTGCTACACATACTCTTCTGAACAGTGCAGTAGCAAGAAAAATGCTTATTCAGCACTTCGTCTAAAATCCACTTATATATCTATATGCTAGTAGTAAATTGCACAATACACATATATAGATCACACTATGAGCAAACATGATTCACTTTTCTGTGTCTATTAGCATATATTGCTGTATGAATAACTATACACAGCATTTCTCAAGTGTTCTGAAAGCAATATAGTTTTGTGGTTCTACGTCATGACATTTATCCACTATCCTCTCACCAGAAAAAACAAGTAGTTAATAGCAGCCTTACCAGCTGTTTGTGAGACATTGCTTCCATTCTGCTGAGTTCCTGAATTCTGACTTGCCATTCCTGTATCTAAAATGATAATCCCTAGTCATCAGGACTAAAGAAAACCCCATAACTACACAAAATAACTGGAAGTTCTTTACAGATGTTAATGTCTGCCATGAAACAGCTCAAGATTGGTCTGATTCACTTCCAGTTAAAAACTGCAGAATGTATTTATTTACCCATCTATATATCTATATGCTAATAGTAAACTGCACTACACACACAGGGATCTTTAAGCCACTGCTAGTGAACATAGTCCACCTTTGTAGTTCTGGTTGTACATGTTGCTGTATAAATGTCTACACAAAATAGCCGAGTAGACATGGTCTAGAGGGGCGGGGTATAAATAAAATAAAATAAAATAAAATAAAATAAAATAAAATAAAATAAATAAATAAATAAATAAAATAAGTAAACAGCATACTTTGCTATTTAATTTTTCAAGGGAAATAAGATGAACTAGCATCTTCTCTTGAACCGGATTATAGTAAAGGATAAAGTCTAATCAACTCAACAAAAAAAAGGTTTAGAGTCTTGCTTAATATTGTGCTACTGCTGTTGTCCTCAGTTTTTGGTTTCACTCAGATTTGATTCAAAGGTTATTTTAATTTGCTTTAGATTTTACATGATAATTTATATTTGTATCACTTGTATTTTTAAGGCTTTCTTACTTGTTCTCTGAACTGGCAGAAGGCTCTGGTGATTGGGCAATACAGGAAACTAATAACATTAAATATTTATTTATTTATTTATTTAATACCCCGCCTATCTGGTCATTGCGATGAATAATAACATAAATTCATAAATAAATAAATCAGTTTATTGTATGCACTGTAATATTATTTACCTGGGAAGGAGAAAAAGGTAGTGTCTTCACTGGTGTTTGTTTTAATGCTATATTGGGAACACCACTACATGAGCCATCATTCTGTTCACTGACTTGTGATTGTCCAGCTCTGAATTTCTTTTTCTTGCGCAAAATAGTTGGAGGAGAACTGAATTTGGCTGCACTTGGGAACGTTGACTCTTCTTCATCACTTGCTTTTTTGCCATCAAGCACAACACTTACATTGAATTGGCATTCCATTGCTCCATCACTGTGCTGAATCCGCATTAGTTTTACAGGAGCATTATTGACTGGGGAGGTAACTGCATCAGATAGGTCAAAGCTGGTGACATCACTCCATGCTACAGGATCCTACAGTAATCCAAGTCAAATAGAAGACAAGAAGAAAATGTATCACATTTTCCTGTTTAAGGAAAGAATTATTTTAACTGAATTCCTATCAAAGTATCATTCTAATGTAGCCCGACAAATCTTACCTCTAGTCCTAACACACATTTTATTGGTTTAGTTCCAATGTAATTCTTTGCTTTTCCAAATTGTATAGATTTACTAACAACATCCTTTTGTCCCCACAAAAGTGAACAAGATACTTAATATTAAAAGCCCATTGTTGCCCCTATTAGATGTATATAACAACAAATGCCGAACTTTGTGCCAAGTTAGTTTTCTTTAATCTATTTTTGCATATAGATTAAAACATTAAAACATATACATTGATTAAGACTTACAGATTCAATAAGTTCTAGTGTCTCTGCAAATTCAGGAATGGTCTGCAGAGATGACAATACTGCATTTGCCTCCACAGCCAAATATTTGGTAGGTGAGTTTTGCTGAGCTGTTGCACCCTGCATATCATCCACATTGTAGAAATCATTTGTTTGCTCCCCAAGGCTATTAAGGGTATTTGTTATGTTGTCTTCCATGATGAAGCCTCCAGACCAGTTAGAAAAACTTCCAGCTTGCTAAGAATACAAAAAGGTGTTGCTGCTTTATTGAAATTAAACATGAAAGATAAATCAAAATTATTACACAGTATCTCAAGGTAAAGTTCATCAGACTCATTAGTAATTATGGAAACACAATATGGAAAACATTTAGCTAATAAGATAGACATAGCACTTACTGTCTTTTGTTAGATACTGGAAATCCTAAGCCTACTTACCTGGAGGTAAGCCCTATTTCAGACAATACTGATTACTTGTGAGTAAACATGCATAAGATGTGAGTTCTGTTTGTTTTTGATGCAGATTATGATTTGTTCTTAGTTCTTTCTATATGAAACATGCATGCATGTTAAGAGTCTTGCATGTTATGGAGTGATTACACGTTGCAGTGACAAAACTTCAGTATGTATTCTAAAATTATTTTTCACTGAAGAAAAGCATATTTTAAAAATATACTAACAAATACCAGAGATACATCAGAACTGTGCCAATTAATGTATAATTTGTAGTTAGTACCTTAAACAGCATAAGCTATTTAGGAGAACTGTTTGTCCTTTCTGAATGATCAAGAGAACAACAGTAGCTCCAGTTTATGCAATACCAATTTCACTGCCAATTTCACATGCAGAAAGACATGAAGGCATTTCAGCTACAGAAGAAATTATATCAAGAAGAAAAATCTTTGATAAACTCTGAAGCCCACAAAAATAATTTATTAAGTAATAGCTACCCCCCCTCGAACAAAAGGTAATAAGCTTCTGGAGGAAAAGTATTTGATTTTGCTGCAAAATGTATGAAAGGAAAATGCAGGTCTTTATTGCCAACAAAACAACACAACAACAACAACAAATTAATAACAGATTTAAACAGACTGTAAAAAAGCAACCATAAAAGTATATTTTGCTTTAAAATGAAGCTTGAATAGCAGTTTACTAAAAGTCATTGCAAACTAGATTAAAGTTCAAATGTTTATTTGCCAGTGTGCACAGAGGCAAAACAAGAGTCTGAAGCTCCACAACATAACAGAAATGGAATGTTTACTAAACCCAATTAATAACACATTTAAACAGACTGTAAAAAAGCAACCATAAAAGTATATTTTGCTTTAAAATGAAGCTTGAATAGCAGTTTACTAAAAGTCATTGCAAACTAGATTAAAGTTCAAATGTTTATTTGCCAGTGTGCACAGAGGCAAAACAAGAGTCTGAAGCTCCACAACATAACAGAAATGGAATGTTTACTAAACCCACTACAAATTGAAACCAGTAAAATGATCAGGGGAAAATGCAGGCAAATTATTCCTGTAGTTATAAGAAAAAACTAGATGAATGATTGAGGAACTCTTATCATTAATGACAGGCAAGATGCTAAAGATGACAAAAACAGGGTCAGAATTCTAAATGTAAATTTTCTGTGGCTGAAACATGGGGACAAAGGAAGTTATTACAATAATCAGTGCAAAGAAATGGATGAGAATAGCACTGATTTTGCCCAATAAGCAAAACTGCTATTCCAGTTTTCACAGAAAAGTATTGTACCACCCATGGACAATACCAGATTGATAACCTGTACCCTGGACAAGAGGCTATTTTTGGGACAGATGTTCAAGCTGGATTCAGAAAAGGAAGAGGCAATATAAAGCATTTATATATCAAAAATATACGTTGGCTGCTGGAGCATATCAAAGGGTTTCACAGGAATTTCAGTCTGTGCTTTACAAGCTACAGCAAAGCTTTTGACCATGAAATGCTATGGAATGTTCTCAAACAAATGGGTGTTTCACAATATCTCATTGTCGTTATGCATAACCTATTCTCTGGACAAGAGTATATTTTTATGACTTATTGTGGCAAAAAGAATGATTTCGCATTGGCAAAAGTGTCAGGCATGTGAGTATTGTATCTCAATCTTTCTTCAGTCTATATGCAGAATATGTCATAAAAGAAGTTCGCTTACATTAGCTGAAGATGTTGATAGGTAGAAAGATTTAGAAATAGCATGATAGCATGCAGACACACTTTTTTTAAAGGTGAACTGGGACATGAATGAAGCACATCTATTGAAGCTTAGGTAAGAACCAAAATACTATGTATTCAGAGTTTCCTCTTTAAAAAGTCCTGAAGAGTTCTGACTGGTTATTCAATTCCATCAGAAGCAATGAAGAGGGCCAAGCCATATACATATTCAGGTACCCTCTCTACTACAGGAAAAACATCAGTAATTTAAAAGATGACACCATATTAATGGCAGAACACAGAAATGACTACTAAGAAAAAAAACAAAGAAAAAAGTTCAGACTACCATGAACATAACAAAAGACAAATCATGGCTGCAGAAGAATTATATGTCTTTAATGTTAACAAAAATAATGGGAATTTAAAACAAAGATTTTTCAGTATCTTGGTTCAGTCTGCAAACCAAGTGGAGACTGCAACCAAGAAGTCAAATGAGGACTAAGACTTTGAAAGGCAACTATGAAGCAACTAGAAAACATCCTTCAGAATAAGGATGTGACCCTGAAGATGAAGACAAAGATCATCCACATCATGGTATTTAGATGTACCATGTGAAAGCTGGACAAGGAACAAAGAGGGGAAGTGATTCATTTGAAATATAGTGTTGGAGGAGAGCCTTACAGATACCATAGACCACCAGAAAAACAACTAAATGGATGCTAGATCAAATAAAGCATGAACTCTCTTCAGAAAGAAAAATGATTAAACTGATGCTGTCGTGCTTTTGGAACATCATGAGAAGACAAAATGTGCTGTAAAAAACAGTACTATTGTAAAAAATTGAAGGCAATAAGAAAAGAGGAATCCGAAATATGAAAATGATTCCTCTGTAACTTGATTAAATCTTAGTAATAATATAATATAATATAATTAACATAGCTTTAAACCATGGTTTAAAATGCCTGCTGATCTTAATGTATTATTTGTTCTGAGTGATTGGTTATACCAATATTGATTCTATTCAAAATGGACATGATTGAATTCCAGCGTAGGCCTTGGTTCACATATAACCACAAGGGGCTCAGGAGGGGACATAGACCACTCACACATATATCTGTGCATGCTCAAAACACTATTCAGGCACGCATGCCACAGGAAGATAGAAACATCACTGTACCTCATGCCACACTGCTGTAAACAATCTTCTGAACACCAGAGCACACCATCTAGCCCTGTGAATCGTAGGCACCTGATGCTATTCATAGGTAGACCATGGTGTAATTGAGGCTATTGTAACCCACAATACCTGTAAGGTGCTTCCTTACATCTAATGGCTATTATGAATGTGTGCTCTGCTTCCCACCCTCATTTAGAAGAGGGACCACAATTGTATCTTCCTTTGTTACATTTTTCAACGTAATAAATCGTGAAAACTAGAACTTCTAATTTTGCTCTGGATTACAACTGTGTTGCAGACTTTTAAAAATTAAAATGTTTTATCCCTCCCACTTTGGCCTCCCTGATTTTGTCAAGTGATGGGGAGAGGTATGAAAAGCACTGCAAAATACGTCTTCCTTCTGAATGTTTTATGCTTGCTTTTGAATATAGCACCATATTGCACAAAATCTCAACTGCCCCCCAACTCCATTTCATTTAGGAAAGGAAGAAGAAAAAATTCCTTCCTGTGCATGAATGCTATTTGAACCATTCTGATTCCTGCATAAGTACACAGAGGAGAATACATATATAAAAGAATTAGAATGGCAATGCCATTTGATCATTAATGCAGTTGCACAATGTTATTAACTATCACCATATACGCAACAAACATGCATATGTATACAAGCCACCCTTACAGATGTGACTCTCTTTCTCCTGATTTCATTCTCAGCTGACATAAGTAGCAGCTCAAGTTCTTTAATTTTTTTCTCTTTGTCAGGATCATCATCAAATGGCTGCTGAAGGCAAACAAAACATGAAGAAACAATTATGATTAGAACATTTTAATGCAAGAAAGATTAGTTTTCCTTTGCCGTTTTTAAAATCATCAGAACACTCAGTGAAACTTAAAAATAGTAATTCTCAGAAGTGGCAATTTAATTTTGTTTTGCAAAATTTTGTTCCATGCAAAGGAAAACAGCTATTTTATCGACAAAAAGGTACATCAAAATAAATTCAAAAGATACAGTAGTTCCTAATAAACTCACTTGCCAGGTCCTGCCTGGAAAGTCAGTTTATTAGGAACTATCTTTTCAATTGCCAGGTCCTGCCTTTTAGATTGATGGGACTAAGCTTGATTTGGTCTCATCCCAGATTTCAACAGGAATAAACAGTATTTGATACTATTTTTAAATGCATGCCATACCTTTAGGAATTTTCTGGAACATTTTTTAAACCATGCATATTAGCCATGAACAATTATTTTTGTTCAACCTACCATAGTTATCAAACTGTAAAGTAGTCAGTTTTTTCTCTTGAACATTGTACAGCATGCAAGTAATGTAGTGATGCATATGATACTTTGGGAATATACTATCAATAGCTAATTACTTTATAAAAAGCTTTACAATGTTGAATTCTTCTATTCAGTACTAAATATATTAAGGTCAACACAGCAAATCTAGTACATGGTGCCTTCTTCAGGTCTTGTCCTCTCACTTGCTGCTGTGTTCAGTTTAATTAAATGACAACCTGATTTTCCACACAGATTTGAAACACTTCTTAAAATTTTATTGCTTTCAGAATATTGATGGTTAAACAAAATTAAATGTGGACAATTTGGTCACTGATATTGTTCCCATAGATGAGTTCTCCTGAGAACGAGGAAACTACATCAGTACTTAAACAGGTTATTCTCTGTTCTTATCAAGATGCATTTGGAAGAGAATCTCCACACCATTAAACTGACATGTCAAAAATATCTACTCCATTTTTGGAGAAGAACAATGTAGAATTTGGATCCTGTAGGCCTTTAAAGAACTAAGCCCTAAGACTGATGCATAGTGCATTATTTGATGTAATATCTAGAAATAATGCAATAACCATTATGTCTGAGTAGTACTATGGTTTAATTATTATCTGTCAGCCTCAGCATAGTATTCTGTTTGTAGCCTCTTTCACGTCTATCATTTAAATGAACTATTAATATCTAGATGCATGGCACTAAGATCTTCAGTCCTTTAATAAATATTGTTTCCATTTCTGTTGGCAGCACATGTAATTGTAGTGTTGAGAGCATGACTAAGGAAAATTAATAAAGACTAACAAACTGTAAAATACATAGAATGCAGAAAGCTGTAATAGTTCAGTTATGTAATGATAAACTAAAATACAGATGGTTGCAGTTTGAAGTACAGATCATAAGAAAAGAAATACAGGAAGAACAAGAACTTTAGAGGTAAAAAAATTTGGAGATTGGTTTGGATGCAACATAACTCTGTTTAGAACCGCCACATCCAAAGGCAGAAAGGTGACATTCATCCTCTAGTAGAAGAACACAATGTCTTAATTTTTTGTGTTACTTAAATTACAAATAACCTTGATTCTGTCCCTCTACCCTTATATTTTTTTCAGGTGCAGAAGTAAAATTCCCCATAATAAAGCCACTTCATCATGGGTACCATAATGCCCTTTCCTCGAGGAAAAAAAGCACAGGCTTTCAAACTAACTGTAGGCAAATGTTCATAAAAATTTCCTTTGCTAAAGAAGCATATAATTAGGATAATGACCACTATAACACACGTAAGGAAAATACACACTGCACAGGCTGTCAGCCATCTCACTGTTGCTGAATGCATTTGCTGGTAGACTGTACATGATAAAACCTTAAACTAAAATATTCTCAAGTAGCCTTCCTGAGAAGAGTTTTCAGGTTATTGTAGAATGCCTAAAGGTTAGGTGTAATGGTCAGGACATTACCTGTATGAAGTCTGAAGAAGTGGTGACATGGTCTATGAAATTGCCTTCTGTTGATACATACTGGTATCCTGGGATCTATCAAATCAGAATTATTTCTTGAACATTAATATCTAAAGCCAGGGTCCACAGAGACAGATCCCCCACCTACCCCCGCATGTACGCCCCCCACGCACTCACACACATGCACTCACACACACAGGCACAGATGCCCTGCCCACTCATGCAAGAGTGCCCCACACACACAGACCCCGCCCCCAACCGGTCCACAGTTCGAAAAAGGTTCGGGTACACTGATCTAAAGCATTTCTTTAACATTCTCCAATTTCAGCAAACTTCCTATTTTATATATTGTTATTTGCAAAGGCTAATTACTTTGAGTTAGGTAGGAACACTCAGATTATTAGATTAAGAAATAATTGAATAATTATTTTTCCAAAGTACCATTCAAAGAGAGAGAAATTCATCAAGTCAAATCATTTAATTACGTAGGGATTTTTTTAAAGCACTCTATTCTGTAGCTTGCATCTTAAAACTAATTGTATATCCATTTGTTGCTCAAGAAAGAAAGAAACAGGTATACAATTAGCTTTAGGGTGCAAAGTCTTAAAAACTATGTATTTTTCGCACCGTAAGACGCACCTTTCCATAAGACGCACCAAATTTTTAGGAGAAGAAAACAGGAAAAAAATTATCTGCTTTCTTCTCCTAAAATTTGGTGAGCCTTATGGAGAGGTC